CTCGCGTTTTGGTACAGCTCCTAATCACTAACTACCCATCCCCCACTGTAGAAACTGTTCGAAGCTCTATTATAACAGAAAACAGGATTTGTTGGTCCATGCTACTTCCTTTTTTTACCTTTAATTAAGACATTCATGATTCTCTGTTTTGGTGACTAGGAGGGAAAGCACAAAATCATTTACTCCTATGATAATTTCATCAGTATCCCGTACTAGTCGAGTTTCCTGTGTGCTCAAGACAAGACTAATAATGTCCCATACTAGTTCCATTTTACTGTGAGCTCATTATGAGCATCAATTCAAGCATACAACATATCTAAAGATGAATGTTCCCCGTGTGTATTCAGGTTTGAGGTGAATGGAAAATTTGACCAACTATTATTGCAAGTTTGATTTACTTGTAATAATTTCCAAAACTCCAATATGGAGGCCCAAGAATTGGCAGGTTGTGTATCAGAAATTTTGTTCAAAATAGAGAGATATATTGCACCAATCTTCAGTCTACTTATAATCAAGGGAAAATACATAAAAAAAAACCTAAACTTGGCACGAAAACTTACTTTAGTACTTAAACTTAAACTACACGGGTGTTTATATACCCCCTTAACATATTTGACGTGAATTATTTTCAACCCTCCGAACACCAGCCCAGTTGAAGGCTGGACATTGTTACACACGCGCGTTTTCATTAGTCCACGTCGCTAAGGGTTTAAAGAATATCTTACCCATTTTATATAACCCACCCGTTCCCAAAATACAACCCGACCCATTTCTAAACAAATATCCCTAAATCTCCAAGTCCGATTCTCATTCTCTCAAATCTACAAGACCTAATCTAAAGATTTTTCTTTCGTTAGCGTGAAGGATTTGCTAAGTTTAGGGTTTTTGTGCAAGAAGTAACGAGAAGCTGGAAAAAACAGATAATAAGAAAAAGGGAGGAAAGAAAAACCAAAATAATAGATGAAGAAGAATAAGTTCAAATTTTACATTTTGAAGAACAATTATTCCTTCAAAGATTCAACTTTTAGGTTTGAAGAGCTAAGATTTATCAAGAAACAAACAATGAATTAGGTCACCATTTTTGGATGATTGGGTTGGTGAGGGAGAAGAGGAAATTAGGGTTCTTTAAAAGTGAAGATGGATCTTCAAATACGTAATGGGTCGGATATTACCGTTGGAGGGTCAAATTTTATTTTTAAAAAAATGTTAAAAGATGAATTACGCGCCGTTCCAAGCTGTATCAACACGCGCACGAGGCTGGTGTTCGGAGGGTTGAAAATAATTCACATCAAATATGTTAAAGGGGTATATAAACATCCGTGTAGTTTAAGTACTAAAGTAAGTTTTCGTGCCAAGTTCAGGGATTTTTTTTATGTATTTTCCCTATAATCAATAACCTTAAAACTTTTTGATGAATAACTGAATGAAGAAGGGGTAAAATTGAACACTCAACTCCTTTTTTGTCTAATACGATCTTTTGATCTTCAAAAGAGTCAAATTTAAATTTCACATTCCCAACATATTAGAAATGCTCTCCTCTTTCAAATTTACAACTTTACCTAAACGATTACGACACCCTAGAAAACTTCCTTGGTTATGGTTACCATTTCTTGTTTCCCCAATATGTACAACTTTGTCATTTTAACATTTTAATCCTTTTTGAGGTTTTGGTTTGTACATCTTCACGCCAATCAATTATATGAGCAATTCAATATCTAGGATATGATACCCCTGGGAGTCTATAGCCTATGCTTCTTGCTTCGTTGACAACAATCATTGGTCGTTTGTTTGTTTGGTCTCAGAATATTAACTATAATCTCTCTTTCAAATTTGCAACTTTTATTACAAAGTAATCAAATACTTTATAAATGCTTGCACTAAGCCCAAGCGATAAGACATGACTTCTATACAATGAAGTCAGAACTTCCCTAGTTTGGTGTCCATGATGGTCACCCTTCCATTATTTCCTCAATGCGTAAAAGAAACATTATCATTTTAAGTTTTAACCGATTTCAAGGATTTTGTTTGTAAATTTATAGTCTAATCAACTGCATGGGAATTCAATCTCTAGTAATATACCACTAAACTAAAGTTACAGGCTTACAGCAGAGGCATCAATTTTTGCACAATGCGTAGCTACACATAAGTTGTACACAAGATTGATCAGACACTGCAAAGCTTTCACCTAACATTTAGCACATCAAGGTGGTGGCATTGGAACCTAGATACAGAGCTGCTTCTACTATACTCATTACTCGCTCAGTCCAAAATAAGGGTAGCTTTAGCAAAAGCAAATTGTCCGAAAATAAGTTTCGCTTTAAGAATTCAAGACAAAAAATAGTAATCTTTCCAACTATAACTTATTTTTAATAGTGCTCAATTTCAAGAAACATCTAAACAGGGATAACTTAGTAATCTTTCCAACTATAACTTCTTCTTAATAGTGCTGAATTCTCAAGAACATTTAAATAGGGATAACTTAGTAAACTATGGCATGTAAGTACTACCTTCTAGTGTGTGCTCGAAAGTATGTCATGCTCTGTAAATATGTAAATACTGTTCTACTAATTGACCTAAAAATATAGAAGTAGAAACTTACTGGTTGTCGAAACACCTTCCGGAATTTACCAAAAAGAGATTTTGAAACTCTGTATAAATTTTCATAATTCCGATTCATCCATTTAACCCTTTCCGTATCTGAACTGACACTTGAAAAGTCGCTAAGACCTCGCAGAATTTCATTCAGATCAGAGAAAGCACCGAACATTTCAAACGACGTAGCATCTCTCCAAGCATAATTTCGAGCATAGTCCCAACCCACGTTCCACATGACTTTCCAGAAACCAATACCCATACCATTCTCCAGTTTTCTAGCAATGGATCGAGCTCGGGCAGCGCCATCGTAGTCTCCGCGAGCTTCCCGGAGATTAGCAACGCGGGAGAACAGCGAATGAGATAGAGAGAAAACGGCATGGTAGTTGGAAAATGGGAAAGAAAAGGAGGAACAAGGTGATGGCTTAGAGAGAAGAAGGAAGAAGAGGAAGAGAAGAAAGATTGAGGGAGTCACACCGGTTCTCCGCATTGCCGGTAGCGACGGTCGCCGACTAGCCGGACGGTTGAGAACTGTCGAGATTTTAGCCGGACCGAAAAAGGAAATGAAGAAGAGACTTCTGAGTTTCCTTAGCGCTCTTACGTTGACGGCCCAGTCCAATCCAACTCAGGTTTAGCGGGCTGGAGACTTTGGAAGGGCCTCGAAAAGAGCATCTTACATAATTGTACAATTGACAATATACGTATTTACATGTATATGAAATGGAAAAATTACGCGGTTAAGCAAACTTATATTATTTAATTACTCATCATAGCTATAGTTTGCTATAATTATCACTCACGACTAACATTATACATTAATTACGCGAGCTGATTTCGAGTTTGTATAATTAACCACGTTTGTATATGTATAATTCGCCAGAATATACAAATACATATGTATAATATACAATTATCTAACCTATATACATATACAATTCACCTCTCTCCCACTCTCTTGCTCGCCTCTCTCCTCCCTCCTCCCTCTCCCAATCTCGCTTGCCATATATACAAATATATATGTATAATATACAATTATCTAACCTATATACATATACAATTCACCTTTCTCCCACTCTTTGCCCTCTCTCTCCTAGTCTCGCTCGCCTCTCTCCTCCATATAACATGTTGCTACGAATTGTAATTATCAAATTATAATTATGGAGAGTAATTAAGCATTTTTGAGTGGCTATATGTGAAAGTTCACCGTATAAAATACTATATAACTATATATTATTCATGTATATACATATATATGTATTGGTTTTATATATTTCATAAATAGTTATAGTTTAGATTTGTGATAACATAACGTAACTATTCATGTGTTTATGAAATATAGTTATAGTTGCTATATATTAAGCGAGTAAATGAAAATAAAATTTCATAATAATAGGTGAAAAGATTGAAAAACTAAACTATAAGGTACATGATCTCTCAAGCGTATGAGATCCTTGGGGAACATTGTGCATTTTTTGCCCAAATTGGACAATATCATACATTATTAAGAATAAAAAAATGCAATTACTAATATTAAAGTCTAGGTTCAACAAGATGAATGTGACGAAGACAAATGATGACGTGAGACTTGATTTACTTTCCTTCCGAGCTTAGAGACGCACCCATACAAATAAAAACTAGTTACGAATATTTTTTGCCAAAAGTATACAGGCGATGTGGGTATCACATAGTGAATTTTGAAAATTGACTCGTGGATCATGATGATGGGCCACGTGAAACTTAGTTCAAAGTAGAGATTATTGTGTATACGAACAAAACCTCACATTGAGTTAGAAGGGTGGGAAACTACTCTGAGATATATGATTTCTCAATAATGTGAATTTTTTTTGTTTGAGAAAAATAACATATAGCCTTTGTCCAAAATGAACAATATAACACCTTACTAAGCATATCTATAGACTAAAATAAAATAACCTAACAATATTAATTAGCTTGTAACTTGATAAAAATAATACTCCACTAGTTACCATCAAATAGAGTGAAAGAGGTTTACATTACCATTTAACAATCTCACAATCACAATTTATATGATATTCTTTTCTTTTTAGCCGGTATAAGAAAATATCATTTTTCTATATCTTGTAACATTTTAACTTTAAACCAATCACAAAATTTATTTTATTTTTAAAAATTATGTATTTAATCAAACACTTTAACATAAATTGAGACGGAGGATTTTTGGTAAAGGTGTAGATTGTGATTAATGATAAGTTTGGGGGGGTTAGTTGAGAGTTGGAGAGATATATTTTATTTAGTGATTAAAAAAGAATAGTTTGAAAAACGGAACTTGTGTAGTAGCGTTGGTGCCAACGGAGAAAAGCTTTGAACAGGTGCGCATCTTGCATGGCGAAGAAACCCGTGCTCCTCACAAACGCTTTCTTCTATCTTTCACTCTCTTCAAAGGGTTTGGATTTTCTGTAATTTGACGAAACCCCCTTTGTTCCTTTCCTCCATTTTCTTTTCTGTATTTTCACATTTTTCCTCCCTCCCTACATACGTACAAATTGTTGACAACTTGCTTCTCCTGTCTCTATATGGACTGCCTGCTTTCCACTTCTAAATCCCAATTTCTCATTTGGGTCTTTATTATTCTTCTTCTTGTTCTTGTTATTGGGATTGACGCTGCTGAAGATGGAGTCGATTGAAGATACCCACAATTCTCAGAACAATTTGGTACTCTAAATGTTGAATTTTTTTCCGGTTTGAAATCAAAACCCCCCTTTTATTTTGATTGCCGATTCTTGTGGTTGTGCATTGAGTATTTATGGGGTGTTCTTGATTTCTTTAGAGTTTATGAGTTTTTTATTTTTTCAAGAACTGTATAATGTTTTTCTTGGTCTAATATGGATATTGATTTTTTTTTTTTCAAGAACTTCACTTTTAAGAAGAATTGAGATAGATATGTTGTTGTGCATTACCTAAGAAGATAATGTTATGAGTGAGTAATATTGTGGGAACATGTATGACTTACTATTTCATTACTAAAGGAAACAAATTATTGTAAAGATTAGTACTATTTTTTTTCTTTTCTTGGAAAGCTATTCCAGGCAATAAACTTGCTCTCATGAAATGTAGTCAAAAGTTTCTGCTTTATATACTGAATCTCTGTCTTTCTGGTTGATTGGTTTGTATATATATATAAAAGTTGTTTTTCTTTATTTTTTAACTTCAACTCTTTGTGAACAATCGGTTCTTGTGTGAAGGGTTCTTTCCCTTTTTTGGATGATAATTTCGGTGCTTAGTTTACCTTGTGCATTTGTCTGATTGGTCATTAGCCAGTTCAGCCTTATTTTGCTATCAAAGCAATGGTAAATTCATTGAAGCTCACAACTTTAAGTTAGTTTCCTTATACTTGAATGAGTTTCATACTGTCACTGTCAACTCGAGAAATGTAATATGCTATAACTTGTCACATTGTCCTGTTTGGTGAATATGGAATTTGTTCATTCTTTTAAGTGACAGAAAAAAGTTGTTTTTTCATAAGTGCATCATTTGACAGAGGTGTTGTGATTTTTAATTTTTGTGAATAAATAAATGCATCATATGATTCATGATTTATACTAATTCAATTCATATACAGATCCTACAAACATCTGGAATCAAGAATAGTTATGATTCTACTGTTCCATCTAGATTGGAAAGGCTCTTAAGAGAAAGGGAACTAAGAAAGTCAAGCAAGTCTCAAAATGCAAATGAAGGCATAAGAGATGGCAACAAAGACTCAAATGTTTTTGGAAATGGAAATGAACTGTGTCTATCAGATGGAGATAGAAGGGCCCGAGAGGGAGAGCTTATCGAAGGACTTGCAGTATCATCCCTTACTAATGGCTTTGAGAGGCAAGATGGGCGGTTACAAAGACAAAGATTATTGGTTGTGGCAAACCGGTTGCCTGTTTCAGCTGTTAGGAAAGGCGAGGATTCATGGAATCTAGAAGTTAGTGTAGGAGGTCTAGTTAGTGCTCTGTTGGGTAAGCCAAAAAACATAATGCTTTATATTAAAAAAAATGACTAGCGAATTTTGCTGTTGAAACTTTCTTTTTCTCTGTTAGCATTGTTCATTTCCTTATTTTCTTAACCTATATACTACATTTGAGCTTCAGTGGGGTTCTTATCATCTGGTATGTGTGCTAATTGATGACTTCTTATTTTGTTAAAGGTGTCAATGAGTTTGAAGCAAATTGGATCGGGTGGGCTGGGGTGAATGTAACTGATGAAATTGGTCAGAGATCACTTACTGAAGCTCTGGCTGAAAAGGTTTGTAAAATAGTCCCCATTTTAAATTCTTGATGTAGCACTTGTCAACAAAGTGATATGTCTAGAGCCTCTACTTCCGTATACCACCTATCACAACAACATTAATAAAACACTTAACTTCATCTAAAAGATCTTACCTAGATGCACTATCTAACTTATGATCATTATAACGACTATGATAAAAGGTTGATCTTTGATGTGGTTGCAGAGGTGCATTCCAGTTTTTCTTGATCAAGAACTTGTTCACCAATATTACAATGGTTATTGTAATAACATTCTGTGGCCTCTTTTCCATTATCTCCCACTTCCGCAAGAAGACCGTCTTGCAACGACCCGCAGCTTCCAGTCTCAGTTTGCTGCATACAAGGAGGCAAACCAGATGTTTGCTGATGTCGTCAATGAGCATTATCAAGAGGGTGATGTCGTTTGGTGCCATGATTACCACCTGATGTTTCTACCGAAATGCCTCAAAGAGTATAATAGTGAAATGAAAGTTGGTTGGTTTCTTCACACACCTTTTCCTTCATCCGAAATTCACAGGACACTGCCATCTCGATCGGAGCTGCTAAGAGCTGTACTTGCTGCTGATTTAGTTGGGTCAGTCCACTTATCTCAATTCATAATACTGCTAACATGTCATAAATTTCTGAGATATTGCAAACTATTTTAACTTTGAAATTATGGTAAGGAAGACGATGGGTGTAATGAAGTGGACAAGCCAACCTAGACAAAGCACACGAGATACTTACCTTTTGTACCAAGGAATGTTCTTGGTGCTGTTGTACCAAGAGATGTTAGACCTTAAATGAGTCTCCAGGAAAAGATTATGAGCAGTCTCAAGGATCCAGAGCATAACAAGATTGTCAGTGAACAGTCTAGATTAGTGTAAGCAGCCATTTTAGTCAATGCCTATTATCGGGGGGAGTGTTCAGCATATAGTGAGCAAATACTGGTAAAATAAACAAGTGACAAAGTAATGAGTTGAGAATGAAAGACATTTTTAAAGAAAAGCAAACTGTCCATGTTTTTTTGCCTCGAGAAGTTTAGGATGGAAAATTCTTATCGTTGTGATCTAGATGCATAAATGAGGGTCTGAGAAGCATTCCACAAGGAAACAAAGGGCTTGTGTTTTTCAAATACCACCAGTAAATTTAGAAGGCGGATAAGTGCCTCATTAAAAGCACGAAATTCAGCTTATTTAGAATCCATGACTAATTTGTCAACTATGATGATTTCTGTACTTCATAATCTTGCTTTAAGAGGATTTGGAGTGTTCTTCCTTATGTTAATAGTTTAGCTGACTCAGGTTTTGTATTTTTAATCTTGTCTCCAGCTTCCACACTTACGATTATGCAAGACATTTTGTTAGTGCTTGCACTCGCATTCTTGGGCTTGAGGGCACACCTGAAGGAGTGGAGGACCAAGGACAGCTAACACGTGTAGCTGCGGTATATGAATCATTTATTAATAGCCTAAAATCTTTTATATTTTTCTTTTTTCATCACTTGCACTTGAGTCAAGTTCCCTTTTTTGCAAAAGGTTATGGTTGACACATTGACTGGATCCTTTGGATGAACAGTTTCCTATTGGGATAGATTCTGATCGGTTCATTAGAGCTCTTGAGCTTCCTGCAGTCAAGTACCATATCAAAGAACTGCAAGAAAGATTTGCTGGAAGAAAGGTTTGTTCCAACATAAATTCCTTTAGATAAGCATGATACAGAATGATCTACAACATTCAATCAGTATAGCTCGAAATGTGGGATGCCTTAATTATTTCACCCCTGAAATTTTCTGTCACCCTCAGTGCAGCACTTTTAATGTATGCTTCCTTGTGAAAACTCCAAAAAAATATGAAAAGGAAATATAGAAAAAAGGTCAAAACAAATATTTTATCCCCATTGTGTCTTAGTTTGGTTATTATCACAAACAGAGCTGCCTTACACCTTGATTGTGCAGATGAAGGTTGTCTTTAATTTTACTTAAAGTGATCTTTGTGCAACTAATATTGTAATTTTTTTCTAATTTCTTGGTTTAATGATGTGTCCTAGTATAAACTAAAAAACACAGAAGTTAGATGAACATCTATAAAATAGATGGGAAGACAGAATAAAGGAAGAAAATTGAAGAGAAGCAAAAATGGCAACCTAAATTAACTGTCTTTACTGATTTTTGATTAAATATTCATTAATTGTGACAGGTCATGCTGGGCGTAGACCGGTTGGATATGATAAAGGGAATTCCCCAAAAAATATTGGCATTTGAGAAGTTCCTTGAAGAGAACCCAGACTGGCGTGACAAGGTAGTTTTGCTACAAATTGCAGTACCAACCAGGACAGATGTTCCCGAGTGTATGTTCCTTGTCATCATACTTATCTCTGTTGTTTAATTACAGCACATAATTTATGTCTACTATTTGATCATGCATCCCTAACCAGGACAAGAAACATATGGATTTTACAGATCAATTTGAGCTCTTGGTTTAAGTTCCTGATTTTAGTGACTTGTAGATTTTGTGAAGGAAAATACTGCTAGTTGTCAAGAACATCTGGAAAGAGAAAGAAAGGAAAAATGTTGATGTTTTTGGATTGTGATATGTGAGCACGTAATCCTGAGATTGAGACCGGTTTAGTGCATTTGAACTTTACCAACTGCAACAAATGATCCTTAAAAACTTCTAAATGCAAAAGCTCCTCCTCTCTAGAATCCTGATGGTCCTATTAGAAGCACTGTATCTTTCTAATCTTCTCTAAGATTATGCCCCCTTAATCTCTCTCTTATTCTCTCCACTCTCCCATTTCTCCTCGATCCAGATTGCAACCTTCTGCCGCTTCTAACAACATCTTCTTAGCCTTTTCACCTTCTGTTTTCATTTCATGCAAAGAGATCTTCTGATCTGACATATTTTGTCTAGTGCAAAAAGATACCGGTTATAGTAAATTAGCCCTAGTTTAACAGTGATGAAGTACAGAATCTGATGTTTCACGTCTTTGAGATATCTTTTGGATATTTGAAGACTCTCATGATAGATCTGAGTTGACTGAATGAAGGAGAGGATCTGTTTTTACAGGAGTAATGTTGATGGCAAGATACATCATGAGTTTGAATCGTGGTGGTAAGCCAAGTATAGTACTTAAGAGGAGAAGGATAGGTGTTAACCTATTATTTGCTGAGGTTTCGAAGTTGGAAATAGTGGATTTCTACAACAACTACTATGTCTCAGTCACAAACAAGTTGGGATCCTCTATAGGAATCCTCAGCGATCATGTTACCCCATTTAAACTCATCTCAATCTGAGTATGTCCTAATGCTGTCTGTATTGCGAGGATTCATCATGAAGCTGGCTTGTTTTATGCTTGCTAGCCTACCCCAATCCTCCTCTTTTATCTGGGATTAGGACCGGCACTGTGAGTAAGTACTCACACAGACGGAGTAAAATAGTGAACTTCTGATTATTTAAAAAATATTCTAAGTAGAAATATTAACATCTCTTAGCACAATTGTTAGTAAATTTTTCAAGATTTTTGTTGTATTGAATCATTTATTGTTAGTGAGAGTTTCTAAAGTTATATTTGAAGTATCGTCAATTATCATTGAAAAAGATTATTCCAAACTTCTGATAATCAAACTTAACTTTGTAAAGCTACACATAAAACCAGTGTATCGGTATTAAGAGATATTATTTGCCCTTGAAGCTTTGTCATTGGTTAAATTTTTGACATCCATGATGTGATTACTCTCTCTGATTGTTAGTGGTTTCCTCTTTTAACTTGTTGGGCAGATCAAAAGCTGACGTGTCAAGTACATGAAATTGTGGGACGCATCAATGGAAGATTCGGAACTCTAACAGCTGTCCCAATCCATCATTTGGTCTGTCTCTTGTTACTTAATAATATGAATAAATTGTTGATATTAATGGATATATGTATAAGTTGGTGCAGCTTGTTTTAGTTTGTTAATTTCATATGACTCTTCTGCATTTGAGAATTACTCTTTTTTAGCTGTAAAGGTTGGCTAAGACCCCTACCTTGTAAATTAATATCCAAAAAGTGAATACATTCAGGAGGGGGACATAAAACCTAACCTCCTCAAAAAACTTGGTTGATATGGACATGCCCATATTTTTACTCCTCGGGAAATTCATAATATGTTTGAGAGGATTCCTCTCCATGTAACTTGATAATAAAGCACACTGAAAGTAACAAATAAAAATAATAGTGCTATCCATTGTCCTCATACATGGAATTGTTTTTGATTTGCCTTATCCTGAAGTTCACAAATTGGTTTTTTAACCATAAGGCTCAACCCTATGGCTTGCTTGGGCAAGTCATGTAAATTCTGATACCATTTGACCTTGTCTCTGCTAGAGCCAATATTAGCGAGGGTATCTACTTCCCTGTTTATTATTTTATATTTACAAGAAATGGTTTAGTCTCTCGTTCCCATTTTAACACTAAATCATAATGATCAAATGGTAAAGGCTCAAAGAAAAAAATAATCGAAAAAAATAAATAAAAGATCTAATAATAAAGGTCTTGGAGAAACTATTTTGAATCCTCTGATGCAAATGCAATGTCTTTCAAGGAGCATCATAGAGTTAGAAGAATTTTATCAGGTGCAATATTCAACGTTGAGTACTTTCCAGGAATTTTAATAATTTTACAATGTGATCCTGAAACAATACAATTGAGAAACTAATCACTTGCCAAAAACATCAAGTATTTACTTAATAAGGTTAAAGTGGGTGATTGATTTCCTTGAAGAAAATCTCTTTCCTTTCATCCCTTGCCACTTACTCTCAGCACCAGGTTACTCACAGTGAATTTGGACTGCCATACCTTACGATTCCAGAAACTTGTAAGAATTTTCCGGATGTTATTTGCATCAATACTCACCTAATTAGCATGAATATTTACGTCTGTCTAGGGTAAAATGTACAATCGTGCAGCACCTATGGGTGCTAATGAAGTGGGTGGAAATCATGGGAGACTAGACAAAAGACGCTAGGTGATTTCTTCACATTTATTTAAGCCTCAATGATTAGAGTTAACAAGTGCTTGTGTTAGTGGAAGTAGCTGATAGCCAGTGGTATAGTCGAGGTGTGCACAAGCTGACATGGATGCCACTGTTATAAAAATGTAGAGTTGGACATGAGAGATGGGAATTTCGAATGTTAAGGCGGGAGACGCCATGGCAATTTTACTTATGTGGAAACTATAATAACCGAAATATAGCTACACATAATGAAGATCTTCATCATTTATAACTCAATAAACCGTATAATTTAGAAGAAACGACCTACATGATATGTTGAGTTGGTTTGTGTAAAGATATGACACATGGGCCTAGCTCAATCAAAAGTTTGCCCAAGTTTGTGTAAAGATTTCCCAAGTCCATATAAGTGAAGCAGATCACTGGTCCTTCTCAACCAATGTGGGACTCTGACACCCCTTTCTCGAGCGTGAACTGGGAGCCCAAACAGTGATGGACCTGACTCTAATACCATGTAAAGATATGGAACTTGAGTCTAACTCAACCCCAAAAGCTAGCTCATGAGGAGAGGATTGTCTAAGTCCATATAAGTAGACCATTCGTCCATTCTCCAACCAATGTGGGACTCTCTAACCCACTCTAACAGTTAGAAGGACCCTACTCTTTACCAAAGGTAATACTCTTTTATGTTTAATCAGAGGTTTCGGGTTCGAGTAATGAGAATAGAGTGCTTTACTTAACCCACTGGTACGAAATCCTGATTTGTTGGATCCTAAACAGGTACCTGACATTCTGGTGGAAAAACAAAACAAACATTCTTGCAATCATTACCTCAATATAGAAACTCAATTGAACCTTGAGCATGAGGACTGATGGACATTCACGGGAAATTTAGAAATTATTATACTAAAGATGAACTAAATATTGCAGCAGATGCAAAAGGATACGGTTTAACTCGTGATAAGTCATTCAAGTAGTTTAGGATAAATAATTAGAAAGATTTATTGGCATATAGGAGTAGCTACGAGTACACTCATTTGTCTTCTTCTAAATTATAGTTAATGTGCATATTTAAAGTAAAGGACAAAACTAAGAATTTGCTTACCTTCAAGACTTAACTCTTGGTGAATTTTTCTGCGTGCAATCTTTATTGGACTAAACTAAATTATTGCACACAATGTTTGGTATGTTAAAGGTTAAGAAGCTTGTATCGCAAAGCTTGTAATGCTACAGCTTTCTGCTTGATAAATACACTCACAAGCTCTATCCAATAATGCTACATTTTTCAAATCCTCGAAGTATAGTTTCCGTGCTTCAAATGCTAGCTACATTGAGGCAGTGAATAAGATTTTTATCATGGGGGTTCAAAACATAAAGCAAATACAAAAAAGATTGCAGGATGATAAATGGGGCGGGGCGGCGAATGACAAGACTAACCTTAACCCGCCCAATTTTAATTTGCCTTGTCATGTCCCTTTTAACACTTCTTCCTACTTATGTCCTGCTCCATCGACCCTTTTTAAAATTTCTTGTGTTTTTTAAACAAGGGTACTTTTGGGAATAAAATGAATACCTTGATTTCTTAAAGATTACTTATTTTGAAACACATTTAAAATGCTAGAAAATCACTTAAAAGGAAAGGAGGGAGTAAAGATTGCATCTTCAGAAAATGGAAGTTTCATATCATAGGCATGAAAGCACAAAATTTTCATTAGAAATCTTAGATCTTTCCATAAATATCTATAGCAATATCTGTTTCCTTCACCTAAAGTTCGTTAAATTTGTGGGGAACGCCCAAAATAAGGAAGAAAAAGTTCACCATTTTGTCCTCTCTTTCGAAACCGAGTCTAAAGCTAACTGCAGGATATAAAGTGATATATTTGAAATTCATATCTACGTTTGGGATGTCCAAAGTATTTTGCTGAATCGAAAGGTGATGTCTATTTAAAGTTGGTTGGTTAAGTAAGTAAGAAGCTATGAAAAGACACCTTATGGTTTTAGGATAATATGAGTTGTCTATATAATAACAACAAATTAGAACTCATAGATAATTTTTTTGAATTACATGTTCCTTGTCAAAAGTTAAATGTGAGTGAGAGGTTCTTTCTAAGATAATTTCCCTTTTGTGACAAATGTCATCTAACTTGTGTAACATATTGACATTGTTGAGAATGTCTGATTGATAAAGGAATTAAGGTCAGGATAGGCAGGAAATATTAAGATTTTGAGTTGAATTATAATTTACAGAGTATATAAAAAGAAAAAGTAAATAATTGGTGGGCAATCATTATATACTACGGTGACCAAGAAGATGGAAATATAGTGCAGATCGAGAATTGATCCTGCGACCTTGGGGGGATTTTGAACTCCCTTGACCACTGAGCCAAGCATTTGAGTTGTGTCAAGAGGGTTCATTCTGGTATATATACTCAAAAAAATCAAATTTGACACTGTATACTGGGTAATATTCCGGCGAAGGGGGTTCAGATGAACCTCCTTCTTGCAACCCTAGATCTGCCGCTGCATTGAGGCATTCGTTACTGCCTACTAGATTTTTGAAATGGATGCAACAAAGAAGAAAATATTACTCCTAATTTTTACTACTGCATGTCAAAGGAAAGCCCCACATTTTGACATTACTTTACTTATCAAAAAGATTAAAGTAGGCTGAATTATTTTGCTGATGCAGCATTCTGCCTGAAGGGTTCCATCAATCATATCTTCTTTGAATGGCATTCTCATTTGCTTTCTTTCAATACTTGTTACATCTTAATCAAAATGATTGCCCATTATACTGAAGGTTTGGTTCTTCTGTGTTTTCTTTGGTTTCAATAGTACTATAATTAGAAAATATATTGCTCTTGAACCGGGAAAATCTTTGTCGTTCTTAATCTATTCTGCTAGAAGTAGAAATCCTCTGAATAGATTTTCAGTGTGTCATTTTCCTAAGAAAGCTTTTTTTGTATTGACGGAGTCTGTCAATTGCTTTTCTCCAAGTGTATAAATCTTTAATTAATAGCCCAGTGCCTGAGATTGGTGGTCAGGGAATTGGGTCAATTGACAATATCAACATTAAGTTTTTAATTTCACTGTTGTTGCTTGAATACTTTGAGAGATGGATCTTGGACCTTACTCTACTCCAAATGCTAGCTCATGAGGTGTTTAGATGAAGTGGTGGATAACAAGAGAAAACGGTTTTGAAAATGAAAGGGTAATGGTTGATTTCTATGAGAAATTTTTGTTTTTTCTAGAGGATATTTTATTTATTTTTTAAATATTTTTTGGGGTCAAGTAAACTGAAGTTTATTGATGTACACCAAGATGGTGTTAGGCTACGGAAGCATTGACTACATGTGATGCTATGGCCTCAAAAATCAAGCCAACTATCTATGAAAAAAGGATCTTCCTCTTTACACTAAAATAAACTGAAGGGTGAATTTTTGAGTTTAAGAACCAGTTCGTGAATCCGTCAAAAGTTCTCCTATCCCTTTATCTACATCCCAGCTAGTGGTGTTTGATGTTTCTTATTCTAATTTCTGCCTATTTCGCTACTCATTCTCATCATTCCCGTTGTGCTTTACAAGTGATTGCTGTAACCTTGTGAAGATTCTAATCCTTTCAACTCTATACTGACAGGATCGTTCTCTTGATTTTCCTGCACTATGCGCACTTTATGCTGTCACTGGTACTTATTCTTGTTCCTTTACAAGCATATTGTCTCTTATCTCCCTATACATTATACTGGAAATAAGTTTAATATGGTAAGAAGGTGAAAAACATAGTTGAGTTCTTCTGATAGTGATGGAGTAAGGGCAGACATACAGAAGGGAAAAAAAGGAAAACATCAATACATCCTGAGGGATTTGCCTGCTCAACATTTGAACAAACTATGTCCATGTATGATACTACTTGCACTAACACATATGTAGAGGACAAAAGAGAAACTAGATGGCTCACCAAGAAAAATTATCTTTATAAACTAGAAAGGACAAGTTGGTATATCTTTTGCTTGTGGCACATAATGATTGCTTTTTTGTAACATTTTAATTCTATTTTAATTAATACTACCAATTTTATGATGTTTTTTTATATAGTATTTGTAAGTTTTAAATGCTAATTGTTCCTCAATTTACTTCTCAGTCCTTTTCTCACTTCTTCTTTGTTTTGGAAATTTTTAGATGTTGCTCTAGTTACATCCTTGAGAGATGGGATGAATCTTGTCAGTTACGAATTTGTGGCCTGCCAAGCATCCAAGAAAGGAGTCCTAATTCTAAGTGAGGTACACAATTCTCTCTTCTTCTTTGCAATATGATTTCACTAGTAACATTTTCAGAATCCTACAACGGTTAAGCATGTGACCTAATTATACCACTTGAGCTAGCTTTTCGAATTTAGGTCTTAGGTTTATTTTTTCAATTCACAAATCTAAGCAAAACCCATCCTTGATCTTGGGTTACCTAATGTTCGGTCAGACATGTTGATACGCCCAAATTACACCAACTGAAATAGCATAGGTGGTCATCGTCAAATATAAAACCCAACGGGGTTGAGTATCGAATCCCACAGGGAATATGATGAGAAATCAAATGCTATTTTCGTGCCTACTTGTGCACACCCAAAGTTGGAGGGCAAAAATGTGAAATGAGGCCAAGTTAAAGGGCATATTTATGTCCAGCTTTGAGCGTGCAGGGAAGGTACAGGGGTTGGTAAAATCCCACTTTGGTGAAGTGCATGATGGTGTAGTCTCTTTATTTGATTTTGCTTGTTTTGGGATTAAGTTGGTCACTATGCCCATCTTTCCAACAATGATCTTAGGAGAAAGTAGCTCCAATGGAAATCTTAATGTTATTGTTAAATTAGGTCTTGGGCCTAACTCACACCCCTAAAGCTAGCTCAAAGGGAGGAGGATTGCCCAAGCCTTATAAGGAGTCCACCCATCTCATTAACCACCAATGTGGGACTTTTGTCATTCTTTAACACCCCACCTCACGCCCAGTGCTTAGCATCTGGTGCGTGGACAATTTTGATTTTAGGGGTCCCAACATCGGGTGAGACGGGCCCTGCTCTGATACCATGTTAAATTAGGTCTTAGGCCTAACTCACACCTCAAAAGCTAGCTCAAAGGGAGGAGGATTGCCCAAGCCTTATAAGGAGTCCACCCATCTCATTAACCACCGATGTGGGACTTTTGTCATTCTTTAACACCCCACCTCACGCCTAGTGCTTAGCATCTGGTGCGTGGGCAATTTTGATTTTGGGGCCCCCAACATCGGGTGAGACGGGCCCTGCTCTGATACCATGTTAAATTAGGTCTTAGGCCTAACTCACATCCCAAAAGCTAGCTCAAAGGGAGGAGGATTGCCCAAGCCTTATAAGGAGTCCACCCATCTCATTAACCACCGATGTGGGACTTTTGTCATTCTTTAACAGTTCTGCCTAAGAAGATGCCTAAGAAGATACAGAGATAGTACTGCAAAATGTTTTTGTCTCATGTTGGATTAAGTTGGTCACTATGTCCATCTTCCCAACAATGGTCTTAATAGCAAAGTAGCTCCAATGGAAATCTTAATGTTATGCCTAAGAAGATGCAGAGATAGTACTGCAAAAGGCCCGTCTAGTGTTGATAATAAGTATACCTCAACTTGCTAAAAGGGAAATATGATGGTCTATTTATTGCTTTTATATCTACTTCAACTTATTTATGCAAGTTTATTTTAAATGCTAGAATTCAGAAGTCCGTTGGAATTTGATTCAGGAAGGGAACTTGCATCATATTCCTTAAATAAACTGTTTCTCCTTCTAAGTATTGTTTTCTAATTATCAGATTGTTACTGGACCAGTAAACGTGCTATGCAAATGATTTGAGCGGCACATTCTTCCATAATATTTTCTTAATTACAGTTTGCAGGTGCAGCACAGTCTCTTGGTGCTGGGGCTATTTTGGTGAACCCATGGAACATTACTGAACTTGCGTCTTCAATTGGTTATGCTCTAACAATGTCTGCAAATGAAAGAGAAAAACGACATCAGCATAACTTCTTGCATGTCACCACTCACACATCCCAGGAATGGGCTGAAACTTTTGTAAGGTATGTCCTTAATGAATCGAAGTAGCTCTTTTTATGATTTAGACTCCTTACCTTTATATTCTTGATAACAAGGGATCCCTGTTTAGTTTCCATATTATGTACTTATCACGGTGTTGAAGTGTGTGACCATCTCATCTAAAAGCTTAAGTTGGAGCACACTTTTGTTTACTAAACCAACACGGCCTCCTAATGTGTGGGCTTGATTTTTTGTTATGAGCCAAGCACATGATTTTTTTTAATAATAGATGGTGCTCAAACTTAGGATATTTGCCTCTGATACCATGTTGAAGTGTGTGACCATCTCATCTAAAAGCTTAAGCTATTAGAGAGAGCTCACTTTTATTTACTAAATTATGTTTTCAACACACTTTTTTTGAAGTCTAATCAATAAGAATATCAAGAAGCGATCAGAAGACAATAGTTTGCTCATATGTTCTTTTAACTACTTTTACCCAACTTTCAGTTTTAGTGCAATCTAATGCTATTATTTTTTTCTATGTAGCGAACTCAATGATACAGTTGTTGAAGCTCAACTGAGGACTAGACATATTCCACCTCAACTTCCCTCCGAAGTGGCTATTGAGCGCTACTTGCAATCAAATAATCGATTGCTTATATTGGTATTCTTTTTCCCTTCACTAAAATTTAAAAAAATGTATATTTGCACTTTACTACTGTAAAATCGTAATTTCAACCAGTGATTAAAGTATCTTAATTTCTTTTATTTATGGTCTTAGTATTTGGTGTCAACCCAAAAGGATCAACAGCCAGGAAATTTGTGCAGTATGACACTGCTGCTAAATTCTACATTCTATTGAAAGAAAATTCATAAAGTTAGAAAATGGTTGAAAACGATGCATTTTGCCATTAAATACTTCCATATACGGGCAGCAGCTCATGCTGAAGCTATTGTAGCTGCTCCTCTGCCAATTTCTAGGGCTCGCTTTTCTTGGATGTTATTTCGATTGCATTTTTACACCATTTGTTTGGCTTTCAGTTCATAAATTTCAAAGGAGTAAATGGAACGATTAAACAGATAGATATTTTAACTAGAAACTGATGTCTCTGTATCCTGTCATTTATTCATTACTGTTGCACACATTCATCTTATATCTTTTTACTACTATGGGCATCCCAACCAAGCGGGAATGGAGTCTGTTGTTACTTGTTATTGCCTGAGACATATTTTAACATAAGGTGCTGAGCTGGCTTTTGTCAAAATATGTCTCTTGATAAAATTATACTGTTATTACGTCCATCAAATGTTTGTTATGCTGTTATATATCCATCAAATGTTTGTAATATCAAAAGGATTATGTGGTCTGTGGAAACTATTACTGTAAGGGTACACAAGATGCTGCTCCATAAAATTATGAATTTGAAGAGTTTTTGCAGTAGGATGTTATATTTTCTTTCTCTGTTACCATATCTCACCTACCTATGCAATTAACTGAGTACAAGGTAGTTCTGATGCTTCTGTTTTCTGAAAGTCGCTCTTTTGCTTTCAAAAATAGATTCTGGCCTTCGTCACACACGAAAAGTGAAATCAGCTTTTGTCATGAAATTTGTTAGTAAAAAAGTTATTTTTCCTTCAGTGCATCCACTTAATCTCTACTATTCCTTTGATTTAAAAGTGGAATAAATGCACTACTTTAGCGTGATGTGTAATATCCCTTATTAATTCATAGATAGTCTATTTGAGCCTGTTGAAAGAGGAGGACTGTATCAGAGAGCAGTAATCAAGCTAAATGTCCAACTTACTGTATTTTATTTGCTCTAAGCTATCTATCTCATTTACTGTGTGCTTTGGTTATCCTTGTTATAGTTCCAAAAACATTGAATATCTATATGATGCAGACAGGTGATAAGCTACTTTGCAGTTTCCCTAATAGGAAAAACTTAGTTTTGACAGTTATTTTCTGTAATTTAGGGTTTCAATGCCACATTAACAGAGCCAGTGGATGCCCAGGGAAGAAGGATTGATCAACTAAAAGAAATGGAGCTTAAGTTGCATCCAGATTTAAAAGAACCTCTAAGAACGCTTTGTAATGACCCAAAGACGACAATAGTTGTCCTCAGTGGAAGTGACCGAAACGTTCTTGATGAGGTGTCCTACTTTCACAAGTTACTGTCTTTCTATCAGCATTTTTGTTTGTTTACTGACTTCTTCTGCAGAATTTTGGAGAATATAGGATGTGGTTGGCTGCTGAACATGGAATGTTTTTGCGACAAACAGGGGGGAATTGGATGACTACGATGCCTGAAAATCTAAGTATGGATTGGGTTGACAGTGTAAAGGTGAAGCACTGTATTTTTAAACTTGAAAAATTGTCTCAAGTTTGTGAAGTTTTTGAAATCAAAGTCTATCTTCTTTGTTTCAGCATGTATTTGAGTATTTCACTGAGAGGACCCCCCGTTCTCATTTTGAGCTTCGTGAGACCTCACTTGTTTGGAACTATAAATATACAGGTCATTAATTACATATCCAATTTATGTTTATCTGTGGTTTCAGTCTCCTAATTCTGTTAGTGTGTTCTGATCATGCAGATATTGAGTTTGGAAAACTTCAATCGAAAGATCTCTTGCAACATCTGTGGACAGGCCCAATTTCAAATGCTTCTGTAGAGGTAGTCCAGGGTAGTCGATCTGTTGAGGTTCGAGCAGTTGGTGTTACTAAGGTCTGTTCTGGTGTTCCTAGAAATTAGAATGTCATTTTGCGGTATGTTGATTATTTTCTTAAGCAGGTTGTTTTTGTACAGGGGGCAGCAATTGATCGTATTTTGGGAGAAATAGTGCACAACAATGACGTGAAGACACCAATTGATTATGTTTTATGCATAGGGCACTTTCTGGCAAAGGTGTGTTTTTCATTTCATCTTGGACTAATCCTGAATTTACGGTTAGATGATCTATGTGGATGAAATTTTTGTCCAACTGCATATGCTTTAGCGCCCTGAATACTTGAGATGTTAAATTGCAATATAGGAAGTCCACTTTGACCTAAAAACTTTGTGCATCATATAATTTGGCATGGTTTATATGGTTGGATTATGTGCCAGATTCCATCTCAAGAAGATGTTCTTACATAAATATGCTTGCTTTTATATGGCTTGGTCAGAGCTTTGCTAATTGAGAACAAGAAAATAATATGAACATGCTTATGTGTTTTCTTCAGTTCTATACAGCTACCTGGACATTGTAGTAGTTATTCAGTTTAATTATTACTTAATCCTATTTTGTTTTACTTATGTTCTATTTTAGCTCATCCAACAAATATACAACCTCTTAAATGTTGGCTTCCACCATAGTAATACTTGAGTATTCTTTTTATAATTCTACTTCACTATTACTTTGTATTTGATGCAACATCTTGATATCTTCTCACATCTTCCAATTAGTATTTGACATATATACTGAACTCCCTTGTAGTAACTCTCATTCAAATGTTTCTCTTAAACTGCTTAAAAGTCAGGGCAGGTCTTAGAAAATGGGATGGGGAGTGCGTACTAGTTTGGTTTAAAGTTGTATGGTAGAGGAAACTCGCTCCTTCTTACCGAGGCCTGATTTTGGTCTAAAGGCTTAGTGCTTCCCAATAGTTTCATGAGGTCCTTTGCTGCATCCAAACTTGCAAGAAATTCTGAAGCTCATCTCAAATACTGCTTCAAATAACCGAGGAAATTTTTGCTTGCATATTCACATTTCAACCATCACAGTTTCCGGATGTTTGTTGAAGTCTCAGACACTATTATGAAATCAGTCTTCTCTTGAATATCTTCCTTGATGGATCTTTTGAACAATTAAGGAATATAAAAGAAGGCATACCTAAACTAAAGTTTAAAGCCGAAGTGATGCTCCAAAATGGAAATACTGTTACTGGTTGATGCAACAGAAAGATGAAGGAAGTTAAGGAAAAAGAAAAATCGTAGGGATGGGGACAATTATAGATTCTCAAATCTGAGGTTTCAAAGATGGAGATATCTACAATAAAATCAGGCAAAATGTTCTTTCCTAGCTCTGGCTTGGTACTTCCATTTGAAATAAAAAACAATTTTCTTAAGGTTAGGTGATTGGTGATACTTGGTAAAGGTCAAATCATTAGTTTGGTTCTCTATAAGGTTCCAAGCACTGTTTCATCAGTAGCCTAGTTAATACTGGATAAGTCATACCTCTATTTCAGAGGGAAAGGTGGCCACTTGCTCAAGTCTTGTTGAATTTGAGATTCAAAGAACCGAACGCTTGTTGGGATCATTTGGGAGTCATTGTTTGAGGCGCAAACTTCCATGAAGCCCATGGCTTCACCATGAAGCGATAATCCCCTGCTTTGCGTTGCCCCATCGATTTAAGTGACGGAGTGATGGTTTTTTATAACACCCGTCTTATAGTCCTGCATCTTCCTCTCCCTGGGACTCTAGGCAACTTTGCAGGTTAACTTTTATTATTTCCATCCGCTTCTCTAGAAGCTTTTTCAAGGGCCTCGCCAAAACTCACCGCTAGTAGCTTCATTTTGCTCCATCTTTGAATGTTGCTAATGAGAAAATGTTATGTATCACTCATTCATTTAGGTACACTCGTGGTTCTTGTCTTCTTTCTTATGTAGTTAATTTCTTCATGGGCACTTAGCTTGCAATAAACTGTTGTCTTTCAGGATGAAGATATTTATTCATTTTTCGACCCAGACCTTTCTCAAGTACAAGCACCAACTATGAGAACCAAGATAGCTAGTCATCTTAATAGAAGTACTTCAAATCATTCAGCTGGTAAAAGTGGGCATCGGCCAGCTAGTTGCAAAGTTGGCCAGCAGGCTTCAACCATAGACAAGAAAGCCGGCAGTAATGAAAATGCAAATTGGTGGTCCTTGTTTCGTGATAGAATGACAGTCCATGAAGGGTCATCAGTTCTTGACCTCAAGGCTGATAACTACTTCTCTTGTGCAGTTGGTAGAAACTGCTCTCTTGCCAGATACCTTCTTGGTTCATCAGCTGATGTTGTGTCTCTATTGAAAGATATGGCCTATAATTCATCTTGCTGAGCTGTTTCTTCGTACAAGTTGAAGTCTACTATTTGAGGTACATTCATACTTAACTCATTTCAGGTACTGTGTACCTCGTGACTAAATAACTTGGGCTTATTTAGTATATCATTAAAGTAGTCTATTAGGAAAAGTTGCTAAGCCTACAGCCACTACAAGCCTTACCAAGTTGAGTCTGATGGTTGGCCTTTCTCTCTTGGTTTTATACTCCAGCAACAAATCCTACCTTCTAGAATTACTTTCTAACACAACCTGTGTGTCAAGCTAGAAAGGGCAAACCATGAAATTGCTAATATGGCATTTTCTTTTTGGTAGTTTTGTTACTTCACACTATTGTAAGATTGTTGATCCCTTTATCCATATTAGTTGACCTTCTTTCTCTTTGTGTCTGTCGCAATTTAGTTGATCACTGCCCTCTAAACTGGATAACTTTTTCCATTGTGGTAATAAAGCAAAGCAATTATCTTGATGTAACATCTTTTAGTAAAAGACAATTTATTCAACATCATTATGAAATGAATCAGAATAGAGCAGGATGGATAATAGAGGATTCATATAGCTTACCCACCCACACAACTAATATGGGATTGAGGCACAGTTGATTGATTGATTCCACGTTTAGTCATTTTATATTAGTTAAAACAATATATTGATCATATTGATATATGAAAGTACATTCAAGAAACCTGCATTCTAGCTACACTAGGTTGACTAATTTGAGAATTTGTTATCTGAATAAAGAAAGATCTCCAATATGTTGTAATACGATACAGTTCAGACTTAAACTTGAGTATTTGACATAGAACAAATGTGACCACATCTGATCTGCTGATACCAACCAAATTACTACTGCGCCACAATGTTTTTTAGACCTTTCTTGCTGAGTTTTGCTTATGGTTTGTTTATATGTTAAATAAAGTATTGAAACATGGTTGGCACTATCTACAATTATGTATCTGCTCTTTTGATCTTAGCTCATTTGATATGTTAAAACTCTGTAGGCTTTCAAGCCGTGGCTAGGTTGACTGCTGATGCTGCTTCACATTTACGGGCAAACAGACACAGGGAGGGATATAGTACTAGTGCCTTCCTTTTACAACTGATGGACCATGTTTGTACTTGCAAAGAGTTAAGCATATGAATAAACCGAAATGTTCTTGTAGTAACTTTAGTAGAATAAATGTCCTAGGTTTCGTGGGATTTACTTGTAAACGCTTTCCTTTTAATAGTTTAATAAGAACCATATGCCTCACTTTTTAATTCCCTTCTGATAGTGTTTCCTTCAAGGTAATTGTTCTTTCCAGAGTTGGTTTTTGTTCACACAGTGCATCTGACTGACTTAATTTCATAGAAACAATTCCTTTGACTGAATTATAAGATGAGATCTTGTCATAAACTCTGCTTACTTAATTTCATAGAAACAATTCCTTTGACTGAATTATAAGATGAGATCTTGTCATAAACTCTGGAAGCATAAAATGCATTACTATATAAGTTGGTAAACTGATAATAGTGATGTTTGTTTACCATATAATTGACTTTTTTGAAGAATTACTGGACTAGCTAGGTTCTTGTACTTGGTTAATTACAATGTGAAGCCTTCTGTCTTGTCTTGAGATGATAAAAAGCATTGAATCCTAATTTCATGTTAGCATTCTCCTTGTTAGTCTTGGTGTATGCCCAAGAGTATGACCTAGTGGTTAATGAAGTTGGTTAATACTGCACAGGTACAAATTTCGGTGGACCTAAAAATATTAGGTGATTTCTTGATATATGTCTAAGCCTTGGTAGATAGGATTATTTGATATCTGTGTTGGTTGGAGGTGGTGGTGGGTAGGGGTACAAAACCGAACCAAACCGCAAATCGAGTCAACCCAAAAAAAAAACCTGACTAGTGGTTTGGTTTTGAAAAAAAAAAACTCGACTATATTTGGGTTGGTTTGGTTTTAACTTAAAAAAATCAACCCGAGACCAAACCAACCCGACATTTTAAAATTTTATTTTATACATAAAAAGTAAAATAAAAATATTTACTTTGATATAATTTTTAAATATTTCTTATACTTTTTCATAGTTTTTTAATATATTATTTCAAGTTTGAAACTTAGAATTATGAATGGGCCAATAAAAATTGTAGTCCACAAATGTTGGTAATTATAATAAAGCTTAAATCAAAATCAAATTAATACTAATGCAAAAAGAAAATCAATTCAACACTAAGAATGACAATAATATTGAATATTTGTTCTTTAGTTTTACATTGATTTAGACAATTAAAATACATAATCTAATTTTAATTTCCTTTAATATTTAGTCATGTAACTAATACTTATTAAACTTAATTTTAGCATGATTTAGTACTTTTAAATTATGATCATTTTCATTATGACTTGTTAATTTGCAATATTTGTTTTACGCGATTTCATTATTATTATTTTTGTTGGATATTTTAATGTCATTAATCATATCATATTGTGTTATATTTTTAAGAAACATCTTAGATAGTTGTATTTTGGTAGGACTAAAGAAATATTTGAAGTACAAGTAAATTATATGTTTGTATGAATACTTTACCAGAAAAACCCGAAAAACCCGAAAAAATCCGAAAAAACCCGAGAAAACCTGAGGTTGAAAAACCCGAGTTTTATTGGTTTGGTTTATAAATTTAAAAATCCGACACAAATGGTTTGGTTTGATATTTGAAAAACCCGAACTAACCCGGCCATGTACACCCCTAGTGATGGATATCTTATGAAATTAGTCGAGCCGTGCACAAGCTAGAGGAGGATTACATCGAACAAAATTGATCACTTGAACTCTTAACTTTTCAACTAGAACATGCTGTGTCAAATCAATTAAGATAAAAAAAGATGAAAAAAAGTTTAAGCTTTAAATTTCAAATATTATTCTTTAATGGATCTATTAATTTTGTTTAAGAGAGGCTATTATATCATCCAACTTCAAACTGATGTGATTTAGTAATTATGTCATGATCTTTTGATCATAAAAAAAAAGAGATTATTGTTTCTAAATTTGTAAAATCAAAATTCACATTATATCAAAGGTGGATGCAACACATTTGAATTCAATATTTTCAGTGCGGAGCATGAATTTATGTATAAAATCTCCTAAAATTGCAACAAATTATAGGCAACAGTAAATAATTATAACACTAAAAATTTAAATTCTGAATCCGTCTCCGCATCTCATATATACCTCTGACTTCTCTGAAATCGATATATGCATACAGACATTATATCACTTTCAAAAGTCCAACTCAAATCATTCTAGTTTTAGAGGGAAAACTTTATTCTGAAGTCAAATAGGCAAAATCTTAAAAAAGAAAAAGAAAAGGTGGACTTTCTCCTTCTTGATAAAACGCCAAACTAGTTAAGAACAAAAGTAGTGCAATTAGATGCTATAAAAATTCAAGAAACATCTTTTTCCTAGAGTTGATATCTTCACATTGAGAAAAAATATGTTGTGACATTCTTTTAGAGCGTTGAAATTGAATTGTCAAAAAGTATATTACGGCCGAGCCAGAATTTGAAACTTATGGATTCTTAATTCTAATTTTTTATAGTTATTGAGTTCTAAATCAATAATTTGTACATATTCAATGAATTTTAAAGACAGATATAAGATTTGAAACAAAGTTACTGAATTCAAACGAACTCATAGGCCACAAATATAAGATTCGAACCAAAGTTACTGAATTCAGCTGAACCCACAGGCAAGACCCTAGCTCCACCCCTGCATATATATGGGCATTATGTAGACTTATGGAATTGCAGAAGAAGACACAAAGAAGATGTGAGTTCAAAATTCAGTTGTGCACGCCTGGTCCTTTTTATAGCTACTTCCACTTTTGTAAATTACACATAAAGTGTGGGTAGTGAGCTCCATTCTAGTTTTTTCTTCATATACCACTTACCCATACCCAATTTTGTACATTTGCTTCTTTTATAGGGTGGGGAATCTACAAATAATTCCATCTTCTTTTCTTTTATAATTAAAATTCATTTCTAAATCAGCTTACGCATGCTTTGGTTACTCCTACGTAATGGATATTTGAAAATACACACAATTTAATTGGAACATTATATCATATATTCAAGTGTTCGATTGGAACAAATCATAATTCTAAATGAAATCTACTTACTAAGTTTGAGGATTTTCGACTTACTAAGCCTTATAATAAAATAAGTCACTATGACATGATGCCTGAATTCTGATGGTATATTTGCTTTAAAAAAAAATAGTACTACACTCTTAACATGTGAGGAATTTCGGTTTGAGCTTTGAACTTGTTTCTCATTTGGTGTTTGATATTTATATTAGAACGCAATTAAATTAAATTTGGGATTGCAATCCATTTTAAAAACAGTGTTACGTTCCTAATAAGATTTTCTTCATCCCTAGAATTCAAACCCGAATTTCTTGATTTAAAGTGAAGACCCCACCATCCCACCATAACATGTTGATAATCCACCCAGGCTTACTACATCAGAAGTAATACATGCAATAGTTGAAACTTACTATAGTCTCTTCTTGTAGGGTAACACATAGCCTTTTCGATGAAGTTCATGATGTTTCTCTTTCTTCTCTTCATGAGTTACCTATGAAATAAAATCTAAATGAAAAGGGTTTCTTAATTTACTTGAAATTATGTTCAAGATTATATGATGCCAGTTCTTAAGGAATCAAAAAAGTAAAAAAAAAAAAAAAAAAAACTTTCATACTCCCTAGTCCTCCCTATCAATTTTAGGTGACTTTTCGCTTTTCAAGAATTAATTTGACTAATCTTTAAAATAAAATTGGACAAAATCAACATGATATTTTAAAATTAAAATTTTACATATTCAAAAATATCATAAGTTGTAATTCTTCTCATGTCAATATGATATGGAAAAATATATTTTAATATGTCCGTCAAAGTTTTTATAATTTCAATCCCAAAAAGATTAAAATACTCCATAAATTGAGACAAAGAAAGTATATAAACTATTAGTGTTTTGTCCTCCTATAACAGATAGAGTAATAGCTATTTAGATATATTCTAAGATATACTGACTTACTAAAAACTATATATAATGACACGAAGTAAAATTTTCTTCAGTAATTGCTAATACTAACATTTATTAAGAATCAAAAAGTGGTTACGACATTTTGGCATAAATGTATATATAATAGTACTCTATATATAGTAGAGTAGTATTTATTATAATCATCTTTAATAAGAATATAGTGCAATTCATTTTAAGGTATACACCATAGTACGGTTCATCATTTTCTTTAGTTAATTTGCCTCATATATATTAAGAGCTTAAAGATGACAAAAATAAAATAAAATACCCTTAAATAAGATTAAGGGAATTACAAGGTGTTTAATTAATAGAATTAAAGCTAAAATATAAAATGATAGAGTAATATCTTTCTTTCAAATCATATTCAGTGAATATTTGGGTGCTTATAAGAAATTATAAATGTTTGTTTGATGTTAAGATGACGCTTAAAACAATTTACTTGTAATAAGCTTTCACTTTTGACTTTACGTTACACATTTTTATCTTGGTCGTTATGAGATTTTATTCTAAATATATTACATAGTGAAAACGTGAGTTTTTTTGGTTTAAAAATACATTGATTCTAATGAAAAATATACTCGTATACAACACGGTGAATTTTTTTTAGACGAAATTACGCAGATAAGCAAACATATTAGTTAATTAGCTAATATAGCTATAGTTTGAATTAATTACTACTCACAACCTATTTTTAGCTATAATTACGTGCGCCTCTCTTAAATTGTATACAAATACAAATACAAATTATACATAACATATACAATTATATAATATATATATACAAATACAATTTGCCTCTCTCCTTCCTCTCCCAATCTCGCTTGTCTCTCTCCTCCCTCTAACATGTAGCTACGAATTATAATTAACAAACTATAGCCATGGAACCTAATTAAGTTGTTTTTAGTGGCTATTTCCGAAATTTCCTCTCAAATAATATAATAAGTAATATACAACATACATTTCACAAATTTTCAAAACTAATATAAGAAATAATTGAAATTTCAACTATATATCGTGCCTTTCCCTATCACTCTTTAACTTTGTTAAAAAAAGGAAAAGAAGAAAAAAAATTACACTTGGTCATTTAAACAGGGATAGATAAATATAACTTTGTACCAGAAAAAATATTTTTACATGAATACATTTAATTTTCATTTGTTTATTTTTATTAAAATACATTAATTGTAGAATTCTAATTCAAACAGGCTCTCTTTAATTTGGATTTTCTCTTATTATTCATCAAATCTGAAATTGTCCAACTCAAGCCAAAAAAAAATAGAATTAATTATATTGACCTTGATACTTGTCATATTAATGACCAAATTACCCTTTTAGATAGAGATTCTCTAGGTCCACAAGAGGTCTAAAAAAGACAATTTCATTGGAAGTAAATTAAAGAGGATAGAAATATTCACTCAATTCCAACCAAGATTCTACAATCCTTTTTTTTTGGTTATAAATATCCATTTATTTTGCATATAACACTTCACTATTCATATAATACACAAATCATTGTATTTTTGTAAAAATATGAATTCATTTTCCACACTCTCATTTCTTCTTCTCCTTGTGCTTCCCCTCTTGGCTTCATGTCATGAAAAACAGGTACCACTATATTTAATCATTCTCATTTCTCATTAATTAATCCTTTCTTTAAACTCTCTAGTTATGTTTTTTTTTTTTAATTATTAATAATATTTTTATGGTGTTGAAGGTTTATATAGTGTATTTTGGAGGGCATAATGGGGAGAAAGCATTGCATGAGATTGAAGAAAACCATCACTCATATTTATTATCAGTGAAGGATAATGAAGAAGAAGCCAAATCTTCTCTCATTTATAGTTATAAACACAGCATCAATGGATTTGCCGCACTTCTCACCCCTCATCAAGCCTCTAAATTATCTGGTATGCAGTGACAAAATCAGAATTTTCATTAGAGTCGATGATATCTAACATGTTTTACTTATCTATAAAATGTAACGATGTTAATCTGATAGTGTAAAAATTCTTTTAAACAGAGTTGGAAGAAGTGGTATCAGTGTATAAAAGTGAGCCAAGAAAATATAGTTTGCATACAACAAGGTCATGGGAATTTTCTGGAGTGGAAGAGTCAGTGGCACCAAATTCTTTGAACAAAGATGACTTGCTATTGAAAGCCAGATATGGAAAAGATGTTATTATTGGGGTTCTTGATAGCGGTACATTTTATTTATTTACTTACTATACTTATTTGGTTTATCATTATTTAATTTCCAACATTGAAAAAATTCCCTTTTATTTAAACTTTAAATGTATTTCCAATATGGACACACAATCTAATTAACGTGTGACTACAGTTTCTCTAATTGGTGATTTGGACAAGACTTTGTATAACAGAAAGGGATATATATAACTCGTTACTTTGTTCAACAGTGTTAACCTATTGTCAAAATTCTACTTTTTAAATGGTCAAGGCATGACAGAGATAGATTCAGAATTTGGATTTTAAATTCTAATCCTTATTGAATTCTAGAATAATAATTTGTTTATGTTAAATACAAAATTTGGACTAAGGTCTATCGACCTTTCCTACCTGAAATTTAGAAGCTTCGTTCATGTGCTTTCTCATACCGTCACTAAACTAATAATTATTAACCTAGAAAGTGTTTTCAAGTTAATAACTACCAGTTGAATCACCATCCGTTAAAAAAATGATTGTATATGTGATGAATGTTGTTGGATGATGCACCATATAGGGCTATGGCCAGAATCTAAGAGCTTTAGTGATGAAGGGATAGGACCAATTCCAAAGTCATGGAAAGGAATCTGCCAATCTGGAGATGCTTTCAACTCTTCAAACTGTAATAAGTGAGTCTTAAATATTCCCATCTTTTTCCTTTTTTGCCTTATCGATTTATTTTTATCTCCATGATGTGATAGTATACCTATTTTGCAATCATTAATAGCCAATCTTGGGTAAGAAAATCTTCAGGTGCTCAATAAATCCAACACCAAACATTTTTTTGTTTGTTGGTGTGTGTAGGTGAGGAATTTCAGTTAAACATAAAATAATTTACTTTACTATATATACATAACACATCTTTATTTTGTTCAATATAGCAAATTGTTTCCTTATTTTATAAGAAAACTAGATGGTCAAATGGTTCAGATCCGTAATTATTTCTATTTTTAGTTTATAAAGAACCTTGTATAATTTCATAAACTAGGTTTTAGGAACCTATCGTCAAGTTATATATCACTTCATGTTTAGATTAATTTTTGGCACTTGTCTCTTGTCTTTTATACATTGACTTAACGTTGAATGATTTGTTATGTTTAGCCGTGCATATATTATAAGTTTGGTAAAAGAGGTCAATTTCAAGGGTTCTGGAACTTGTCTTTTTGTCTTCTATAGTTTATATAAAAGCAATTAAAAATAAGAAAAAAAACATATTATTATTATTATTGTACTTTTCTAATTGGTTGAAGAGACGTTTTTTTTTTATAGGACAGGACCCATTGGGTCTCCATGCCTGTCATTTGGTGGCCTTTTGATATCAGTGTAATAATTCGAGTATTTGTCTATTTCAATCAAACCAAAACAAGTTATTCTGACAAATAGCTAATTGTTTTTTGGATTATTGCTTTGCCATCTTGTGAACTTTGTAGCCTTCCAATGCCTCTAGTGTGCAGTATTACTTTTTTTGTTTGCATACCTGCATGTATTGTTGATCATGTATGGAGTCCACAGTGAAATTTTAGGTGACCCTTACTTCCATTATTGCACGTATATTCTCATTAGTTGGACTCCAACCTTCACTAAGAAAGTGAAAGTTCAAACGGTCAACCTAAACTACTAATATACCCGTTTGTTAGTAGTATAAAGTGGCAAAAAAGAGTATTATCTCATTCTTTTCTTACCTTCTTCTCAAATGGCATGGGGTGGGAGGAGAATGACCTAGTTTGTTATTATACTTGTTTGACATACTATTTCCTCTGTCTCTAATTATTGTTCATTTTTTTTTTAATTGTTCCTAATTACTTGTCCATTTTGACAAATCAAGAAAGGACAACTTTTTTACCTATTATACTCTCAATAAATTACTTTGAAAAAGACAGAACTTTTTGAAAATCTTAAGTTTTTAATTCATCCACTTCATAATTAATAAGGGTAAAATGGTAAACTCACTATGTCAATCATTATTTTCTTAATAAGTGTGTCAATTCAAAAGTGGACAAGTAATTAGGGACATAGGAAGTATCTTTTTAGTCTGTTTTAAAAAAAAGTGTCTCTTTTCACTTTTAACAACTCTTTAGTTTCAATTTTCCACCGATCATGTTTAAGACCACAATATTCATGAGTCTTTTTTACTTTTTGAACTTCATGTCAAAGTAAATATAAGTCGAATACATTGAAACGAAGGTAGTAATTTATTTCTCCAAAAAGCATTTCACCATGCATGTTATCATATGGTACCCAAAAAATGAGATTTTGTATACCTTTTCACTAGATTGTGTGGTTCACTCATTTATTTTCTTCTTTTCTTTAGAAGAGAATATTTTATTCATGGTGATTGATAGGGGTGAGAGAGGATGGGGATGTGTGAATCATGTCCTTTAATATCTTATCTAATCATATGAGACATCTCTAGAGTGACTCCGTGGGTTCAACTAAATCGATTTCTTTTAGTTGGGGGGTCCAGTCAACTTCCCGTCCTAAAGAATCGTTGACTAGCTAGCTAATCGAACTAGTGGACATCCTATTTAGAGACAAACTGAAAATCAAGCCTTTCGAATTGTCACAATGCCTGTCTTTCAAATAAAGAATAGGGAGAAAGATAATGGAAGACCTTTATTGCCATAATCTTTCCTCCAACTTGTTTTTGCCTTGCAAGATAACGTCTTGTTCTTGCGAATAAATTTTAAAATGTTTATACGTAGTAAAAGTACACTTATTCTGAACTTACTGACTCTAAATGATAAATTTGCCTTTCTTAATCATGTAAGATATGAGAACTTTAATATTTATTCTACTATGCTACTTTGGGACTTCTTTTGCAGGAAAATAATTGGAGCTAGGTACTATATAAAAGGTTATGAACAATATTATGGCCCTCTAAACAGCACCTTAGATTATCTATCTCCAAGAGACAAGGATGGACATGGAACTCATACATCATCAACAGCAGGAGGTAAAAAGGTTCCAAATGCCTCTGCCATTGGTGGCTTTGCATCTGGCACCGCCTCGGGTGGGGCCCCACTCGCACGGCTTGCAATGTACAAAGTCTGTTGGGCTATTCCAAGGGAGGGGAAAGAAAATGGGAACACTTGCTTTGATGAAGACATGTTAGCAGCACTGGATGATGCTATTGCAGATGGTGTTGATGTTATTAGTATTTCCATTGGAACAAAACAGCCTCAGCCTTTTGATCAAGACAGCATTGCAATTGGAGCACTTCATGCCATGAAGAAGAATATAGTTGTATCTTGTAGTGCTGGAAATTCAGGGCCTGCACCTTCTACATTGTCTAATACAGCTCCTTGGATTATCACTGTTGGTGCAAGCAGTGTTGACAGGAAATTTTTGTCACCAATTGTACTAGGAAATGGCAAGAAATTCATGGTAAGCCGAAACTATTACACACGTAACACAAGAAAACATGAGAAGAAACATGATAATCTATTCAATTTTCGACTACTCTTTCATCTAAAACAATTAAACGCTAGGATTAGAACATGTTTCCTAAATTGCACCCGTTCTTCGTTTTGTATGTTATGCATGAAATCAGGGACAAACAGTTACACCTTACAAGCTGAAGAAGAAGATGTACCCTCTAGTTTATGCCGGAGAAGTGATCAACACTAACGTAACCAAAGATTTAGCAGGGTACTCTCCTTCCTTCCTTCCAAGTTTCAATATTTTTCATGTGATTATATCAAACAATATCTGAACTTTTGCAAAAACATTTCAGGCAATGTTTACCAGGTTCTCTTTCGCCAGAAAAGGCCAAGGGGAAAATAGTAATGTGCTTGAGAGGGAATGGGACAAGAGTAGGAAAAGGCGGAGAAGTGAAAAGGGCAGGAGGAATTGGTTACATACTAGGAAATAGTAAAGCAAATGGGGCTGAGTTAGCAGCAGATGCTCATCTTCTTCCAGCCACAGCAGTGGACTATAAAAGTGGAGTTCAGATTCTCAACTACATCAGTTCTACAAAGTCCCCTGTAGCTTATATAGTCCCAGCTAAAACAGTTTTGCATGCTAAACCAGCACCTTACATGGCTTCATTCACTAGTAGAGGTCCAAGTGCAGTTGCACCGGATATCCTCAAGGTCAGAATTTACAATATAAGAAACTGAAAGACATTTACCTGATTTGTAATATATGCATTGTCTTCTAAATAAAATTCTGATTTGTGCTCTTTCCACAGCCGGATATCACGGCACCAGGGCTGAATATATTGGCAGCATGGAGTGGAGGATCATCCCCTACGAAGCTAGATATTGACAACCGTGTAGTTGAGTATAACATACTCTCAGGTACTTCCATGTCTTGCCCTCATGTTGGGGGGGCCGCAGCACTTTTGAAGGCTATACATCCCACTTGGAGCAGTGCTGCAATAAGATCTGCTCTCATAACCTCAGGTACCTTTAACTGCCTCTGAAATTCGTCAGGGAATAGAAGTTGAACTCTTCTTTTGTCCATAAATTTCCACTCTATACTGATTTAATCAATGTAAATTTTCAGCTGAATTACAAAATAATGTTGGTGAACAAATAACTGATGCATCTGGGAAGCCAGCAGATCCATTCCAGTTCGGAGGAGGGCATTTCAGGCCATCAAAGGCAGCAGATCCTGGACTTGTCTACGATGCTTCCTACCAAGACTATCTTCTCTTCCTGTGTGCCTCTGGTGTCAAGGATCTTGACAAATCCTTCAAGTGTCCTAAGAAATCACATTCGCCTAGAGACCTAAATTACCCATCTCTGGCTATTCCAAATCTCAATGACACTGTCACTGCTAGAAGAAGATTAACAAATGTTGGTGCACCAAAGAGCATTTACTATGCCAGTACCAAACCTCCATTGGGATTCTCTATTGAGATTTCACCACCCGTCTTGTCTTTTAACCACGTTGGCTCCAAGAGGACGTTCACTATCACAGTGAAAGCTCACCGTGACATGATGGATAGAATTCCGAAAGATCAGTATGTGTTTGGATGGTATTCCTGGAATGATGGAATCCATAATGTTAGGAGTCCAATTGCTGTAAAATTGGCATAAATACTCAAACCCATAGCAGTATAGGGGTATATAGTGCTCTGTTTTCCCTCAATTGGTGCACATAACTTTACTTTAGTTACATCTGAAGCAAAGATATCTCGCTAGAGAATAAAATCAGTGCATTTCTCATTTCTATCCTAATGAAGTCTTAGTATGAACTTGCTTCCCTGGCGTTATACTCATCCCTGCAGTAGAGTTTTGAGAATGTAACATGGAAAAAAGGTGTCACAAGCCGATGAGAAAATTGAAATTCATGATTTGATTGATTACATGAATACTTTATACCATTAATAGTTGTATGGAACGTCTCTGTACAAGAAATTTAGATACAAACATGTTAAGACCAACAGAACTAAAACCAATCTTTGTACTGAAAAACCCAATGATATCAGTATAACGGGGAAAATCTCTTTCACTATGAGGTGTAGTATGGTTTGGTAGTCTTGCTTCTGCTGCATAAGAAATCAACTGCGATGAGGTTTACACTTTCATCAATCTTGTGGACTTCTAGTTATATCTTGTATCATCAGCCAAGTAGAGTCTTCGCATTCAATACACAATCTCACCAGGGATATATCAACACAACTACAGCAACTTGGATTTTATCTGACAAGAGTATTTTCCAGTATGTATAATATCAACCAAGTACATACTACTCTTCCCCACCCATGCAAGGAATAGCACTTTTATTCATTCCATATCTCTTCTCACTCTTGCTCTTTCACCGTTGAAATGGACATATTTCCATCTGCTTTGATACTTTTTGAGAACCAGTTTTTGGTTATCTTCTTGGCCCAACATCTGGAAGGCTCTTGCAACTCTTCTAACTGTATCTTCATCTGGTTTTACCCCTAACTCCTCCATGTCTGCAAACACCTGAATTTTCAAAAAGCATGCTTCAAAAATAGAATCAAACTTTCAACAGTAGAGGAAATCCATTACGAAAGATAGAAGTGAGGATAATCCACAGCATCATGCTGTTCTGCAGAGAGGGAACTGAACAACCAGTTATACCTGGACCAATTAGGAAATATGCAAAAAATTTCATTTACCTCAACTATCTTGTCTGGCACATGATGATGATCATACAATGAAATCATCCTGGAGAAGAGCCGTTTTGAAACAGACCGTGTGCTTGTATGCAAAATCATATTCCATAACGTTTCTGCTTCATCTACCCTATTGTCCATATCAAATGATAGTAGAAGTGCATCATAGGTTGCCATTGTTGCACCTTGACCTTTGCTCAACATCCACTTAGCAACCTAAGCATAGAGTGTTAAAGAGCAAGTATGATTTAGTGACAAATGGCTATTCTGAAATACTTCAGTACATAATCAAACTAGTCACCATGATCTGTCTAACAATTAAGATTCACATATACTCAATTACACGAACCACTCTTTCCTACCAAGCCGATTTAAACATGCCCCGACAATCCAGAGGAGTAGAACTAAATCTCAGTATCACCAAGTTCAGTTTCTACTTCCATGTAGCCAGTAGTCAATACGTTCAAATGATACTTGTCGAATTGATTATGAACTACAATTACATCAAGGGGGATGGATGAATTGACGTTGATTGAGTAATGACAAGAGATAATCCACACAACTGGGAAAATTAAAAGTGCAACCGCATCAGAGTTTTTTTGTCTTGCAATGGAAAAACAAAAGAACCTGAAGCAGAGCCATCTTGTACTTGGTCAATTTGAGTAGTTGAGTATGATACTTATGAAGTTAAGACAAGGCTTCTAATGTCATAGCTTGTTGACAAATGATATTTATCACTACATTGCTTCAGAATTTATCAAGGCAAGATGCTATCAAATATACCACCAATGCTAAAAATAACAAAATGAAGTTCCCAAGCATCGTACTTGAATCACTCGTTTCCACAGCTGCTGTTGCCTTAAGATTCTTAGAGCCTTAGCAGCTGCAATCAATGGAAACTCTGTCTCCCATGCAATCCATTTATCTAATGCACCATAAACAGACTCTTTCTCATTTGGAAGTCCAGAAATCTGTCCATTTACATATCACAAAGAAACAGAAGGCAACGTCAAAATACGTCTATTTCAGGTATACGAGAAAACATACCTTTCAGTGTGCAAACTATAGTGATTAGCCAGAATAATTTGAAAAAACTTACAATCCGAACAAGATTCAGCGCTTTTTGTCCAGATCCAGCAGATTCTCTTTTCTTCCATAGGTGATGTTCTACTTTTCCAGCCTTCTGAACTTTCCTGCATCCACACCGAGGATAATTAGTTTAGAGAAGATAAAAAGAACATTTAACATGGAATTCAGCTTGACATAATACTCCATTGAATATAATCAGTTACTTCAAGAAAATGAGTATCTGTTATCAAACAAATGTGTTAATGGGTAGCATTACTTACTTCTGATCAGCAGCAGCGGAGATAGTAAGAGAAAGTTCACCCTGCTTCTTGGAATGTTTAAGAGCAGAGGTTACATTTAACTGCATATGATAGTAGAACCTTAGACACTGAGCAATAATCTGTATCAAAAATAGTAAAAAAGGAGCATCTCACTCCAACCTTATCCGATGACCCGGTTGAGTTTATTCCCTTTAGCAAAATGTTGCAACTGAAGAAGTGAAATTGTAGAGAACCTCCCATTCTACCACAGCAGTTCTAAAAATAAATTCTTTCCAAATATACACATCAGGGGACTCTCATAAGCAAGAATGGTTCTTAAAGAGGCAAATTAGAAAATTTGTAACTCAAAGTTATTAGCATTAACTGACTTATATGTAGAAAAAAACAAACAATGTGTATTACCAGTTTCTGCAAGAATGATGGATAATGAGGGATGGCTGAATAAACTTGGTTGTGGAGCCAAACCTTGTATTTAAGCAGATAAGGGTCGAAGGACGGGCCTATTATCCCAAGTTTCGAGGCTGCATCAGCCGATATTTTTGTCAATAGAAAAAACCCGAGAAAGGAAAAACTGAAAACTGAATCTATGCAGCAGAAGTTATCATCTGTTGGGTCTTCAAATTTTAGCTTCTGTCTTTCATATAAGCTAAAAATTGAGAAGAAAAATCATAGATAATAGCAAGCAGCCATAAATTCTTAAAAAGCTCATCTATGGCTGCAATCCTTTTCTTTCCTCAATTTTTAATTTTACTTTTTGGTTCACAGCTTGCTAAGGTCTGCTTACGCTCTACCTTCCCCAAAGAGATTACTAGGTATGTTGTTGTTATTATTTTTTGGTTCACATCTGTGGCTATAATCAATTAAGAGGCTAGATAATTGTAATCACCTCTACTTAATGACAAAGAAGCTTATAATTATAGTACCCAGACAGCCATTAAGCTCACATACTTGATTCAGTTTATCACTTCATATGATAACAATGAGATATATAACAATTGTAAGGAAAAAAACAGAGTTCTGTGCTACATAAATAAAGTAAGTGGGAAGATAAAATCAGCATCATTCAGTGATTAGCTTCATCAATAAAAGGGATTAGAGAAAACCGCGGGAACGTACAGTTCCATTTCTCAGTAGAAACTGCTCGGAGAGAGGTCGCCGGAGAAAGAAACTGGGTGGAGGAAGTGGCGGCCGGCGTAGAGTTGTGGTGGATCGATAGATAAGACCGGAGAAGAAGCTCGAGAAGCTCTATCGTCCTTTCAAATTGGCGGGTCGGAATGATTTGGCGTTTGAGATCCGAATTTGAATTATTTGGGCTGCCACTGTTCCAAGGAATTGGGCTTATAAGCTGTAATATAGGGCTGGCCCAATCCTTGCAGCCCACTGGTTCTTATTTTGGTCTTTTTTTGAAAGAAATAGAAATATATCATGCATTTTTGTTTGAAAAGATCTTTTCAGTTTTTATTTACATTAAGATATGTTTTAAGGAAAGAATTTTTTTTTTACTCCTAATACAAAGGTAATTTTCTCTTCTATTTACGTCAAAAAAATAATTTGATTCTTTGAAAAATACGATCGATAGTTAGGACTTAAATTTAATTAATTTGTAGATAAATTTTCTCTCCGTTTTGATTTGTCCAACAACCTAGTGAATGTAATTAAATTATATATAATTGGTCGTTACATCATCTTTTTAATTTTTTTTTTATATAATCATAGTGTATGAGTAACTTTGTCCATCAAGGACGATCGACAAATGAGAAGAAAACACGAAACTTCATGATGCTCAACCCACTTCATTTACTATTAAGCCACATTTTTAGGTGAATAATATCTTATTTTATAAGGTTTATATAACGCGTTAATTACTGCATGTAATGATGGACTAAATAATTGACACGCTTTTAAAATTTTCTTAAAATATTTTAACCTATCAGACTCTCACGTAATATTGTCCGACCCCTGAGTTAACATATAGTTTTCCAATATCTTGCTGATGCATAATGGTTGATATTTGTAGAATACTTAATTAATGACCAGTCTTCCTTTAGATGTATTTAAGTACTATCTTTTTCCATCTTTCAATTCTTTCATTTATTTTACGAGACGTATTCTAATATAATTTATTTATTATTATAGTTATCTGCTCACTCAATTTTTTTGTCCTACCATGTAGAATATTTGAATCAGTGTATATATATTTATATCTCGAAACATCAAAATTAAAAATTTTCTTCTGAAAAATCCCTTTTACGTAAGATTTGATGATAATCGACATCTTAGCAAGCAAAAAACGCGCCCAAAGAATGACTATTCTAATTGCTATGAAATTTAAATCAAACAATTAAATGATATTTGTGTTTATGGGGGGATGAGGGTGACATATTTGTAATTTCGTTAGTTTTTTCTCGTCAAGTGACAAAAAAACTTTTAATTAACCTATATGATCATGTCTGACCAAGTCATATATATATATATATATATATATATATATATGAAAACCTTTTTTTTAATGAATTAAGGGCCTTACGATGTTTCATTTTTGTGTTATTATTAACATGAAAATGAAACATTATCTTTTGGTTAGTACTAAGATGTAACGTGGTTTGACTATTAATCTCGCGTGGAGCCGCCAATATTACATATATCAACTTAATTAGACGACCAACTGAAATTGACATTCATGTTATTTTCTTAATTGATATATAGTTGTAGTAATATTTTTGTTTTGCAAGAGGAGAATAATTAACAGATATGAATAACCAAA